AAGACAGAAAACATCTCGTCTCTTCTTAAAGACAGAAAACATGTCGTCTCCTCTTTAAAACAGAAAACTATCGTCTCTTCTTAAAAAACAGAAAACAACTCATCTCTTCTTCTTAAAGACAGAAAACATCTCGTCTCCTCTTAAAGACAGAAAACCTCTCGCCTCTTCTTAAAGACAGAAAACATCTAATCTATTCTTCTTAAAAACAGAAAACATCTAAAACATCATGTCTTTTCTTAAAAACAGAAAACATCTCTTCTCTTCTTAAAAGCAGAAAACATCTCGTCTCTTCTTAAAGACAGAAAACATCTCGTCTCTTCTTAAAGACAGAAAATGTCTCGTCTCTTTTTAAAGACAGAAAACATCTCATCTCTTCTTAAAGACAGAAAACATCTCGTCTCTTCTTAAAGACAGAAAACATCTCCATCCATCCATCCATTTTCTTCTGCTTATCCGGGGTCGGGTCGCGGGGGTAGCAGCCTAAGTAGGGAGGCCCAGACTTCCCTCTCCGCAGCCACTTGGGCCAGCTCTTCCAGGGGAATCCCAAGGCGTTCCCAGGCCAGCCGAGAAATATAGTCCCTCCAGCGTGTCCTGGGTCTTCCTCTGGGCCTCCTTCCGGTGGGACGAGTCCGGAGCACCTCAGCAGGGAGGCGTCCAGAAGGTAGCCAAAACAGATGCCCAAGCCACCTCAATTGGCTCCTCTCGACGTGGAGAAGCAGCTGCTCTACTCTGAGTCCCTCCCGGATGATCGAGCTTCTCACCCTATCTCTAAGGGAGAGCCCAGACACCCTGCGGAGAAAACTCATTTTGGCCGCTTGTATCCGAGATCTCATTCTTTCAGTCACAACCCAAAGCTCGTGACCATAGATGAGGGTAGGAACGTAGATCTATCGGTAAATTGAGAGCTTTGCCTTTTGACTCAGTTCTCTCTTCACCATGACAGACCTGTACAGCACCCGCTTCACTGCAGATGCTGCACCTATCTGCCTATCGATCTCACGCTTCATTTTTCCCTCATTCGTGAACAAGACCCCAAGATACTTGAACTCCTCCACTTGAGGTAGGACCTCCTCCCTGACCCGGAGAGGGCACTCTACCCTTTTCCAGCTCAAGACCATGTCCTCGGATTTGGAGAAACTGATCTTCATCCTGGCCATGTCGAATTCAGCTGCGAACCGCTCCAGCGAAAGCTGTAGATCAAGATCTGATGAAGCCAATAAGACCACATCATCTGCAAAAAGCAGAGATGCAATCCAAAGGCCACCAAAACAGATCCCCTCAACACCTTGACTGCGCCTAGAAATTCTGTCCATAAAAGTTATGAACAGAATCGGTGACAAAGGGCAACCTTGGCGGAGTCCACCTCTCACCGGGAACAAGCCTGACTTACTGCCGGCGATGCGGATCAGGCTCTGACACTGGTCATACAGGGACCTAACAGCCCATATCAAAGGGCCCGGTACCCCATACTCCCAGAGTACCCCCCACAAGGTTCCCCGAGGGACGCGGTCGAACGCCTTCTCGAAGTCCACAAAGCACATGTAGACTGGTTGGGCAAACTCCCACGCACCCTCCAGGACCCTGCTGAGAGTGTACAGCTGGTCCAGTGTTCCATGGCCAGGACAAAAACTGCACTGCTCCTCCTGAATCTGAGGTTCGACTATCCGACGGACCCTCCTCTCCAGAACCCCTGAATAGACCTTACCAGGGAGGCTTAAGAGCGTGATTCCCCTGTAGTTGGATCACACTCTACGGTCCCCCTTTTTGAATAGGGAGACCACCACCCCGGTCTGCCAATCCAGGGGAACTTCCCCCGATGTCCACACAACATTGCAGAGTCGTGTAAGCCAACACAACCCTACAACATCCAGAGTCTTAAGGAACTCTGGGCGAATCTCATCCACCCCTGGGGCCCTGCCACCGAGGAGCTTTTTAACCACCTCGGTGACCTCAGCACCAGAGATTGGAGGGCCCGACACAGAGTCCCCAGGCGCCACTTCGTCAGTGGAAGACGTGCCGGTGGGATTGAGGAGGTCTTCAAAGTATTCTGCCCACCGACCCACAACATCCCGAGTTGAGGTCAGCAGCACACCACTCCCACTATAAACAGTGTTGGTGGCGTACCGCTT